AGGACCCTGGGATCATGACCTGAGCTGAAGGCAGACGCCCAACGACTGAGCCAACCAGGCACCCCTCCTGGCAGACACCTGGGTGTCTTAAATGACCAGTCTCTTCTCCCACTTAAATGACGAGTCTCTTCTCCCACTGACTGAGATGCCATGATTTATCCTATACTGAGTTCCCGTCCGTATTTGCGTCCCTGTGTGGGCTTCCTCTCCCCTCCATTGATCCATCTGTCTTCACTTACCAGTAACCCAGTGTTGTGATTGTTGAGAGTTTCAACTGTGTTTCATGTCTGGTAGGGACATTCACTACTCACTACTCACTGCTCTTTTCTTTTCTTTTTTCTTTTTTAGCATTTTCCTGGCTTTTCTGGTTTCTTCATATCTTCCTCTCCACTTTAATATCTTCTTGCCCTACTAAAAACCCAAACAAAATCCTGCCGGTGTATTTTATTGGGATCATCTGAAACGAATACACTAACTTAGGGACAACTGACTTCTCTATGTTGCAGACTCTTGCTATCCGTGAACATTTCCATGTGATCACAGGTACTTCGCTTAAAGGGTTTTATTGAACTCCTCCCGCAGCTCTGCTCTGTGAGCCTGTCACCTGCGCACGCCTGTCCCACGCTCACTGACCATGCATATCAAGGGTGCTGTGGCTGCTGGCTGACCTCGGTCTCGACACTGGACTGGGACGGCCAAACTTACTCCTTTCTTTCCTTGGAGCCTGGCCTGGAGCCCACGCTCAGTAAACATTTACCCCCTTCCTCCCCCAGCCCTGGAATGTCCTGCCCACAGCAGCTACTCAACCTGCCTTCCCTCCTGCCCACCTTCCTGCTTGGACCTGACGGGCCGGTGCAGTGGCCCCAAAGTCCCCTCCACCTGCAAGGAGGGCTGCCTTTGTCAGCCCGGCTACATGCTCAGTGGGCAACAGTGCGTGCACAGGGCTCAGTGTGGTTGCACGGACGACTACGGCAGCTCCTTCCCCGTGAGTGGGGACAGGAGATAGGGGTGGGGACACCTCGAGGTTGGCGTTTTCTCCTTCCCTGTGGCTCTGTCAGCCTGGGGCACCCGTGTCTCCGTGGCTGGCCCTGGGGGATGCAGGCTGGGGACCGGGCAGGGTGCTGTCCGTCCAGGCCTGGGCTGGGGGTGCGTGGTGGTTTGGGGTTTCCCGAGGGATCCACATAACTGGGATGGGGCATGGCATAGTGGAAGGAGCGTGGCCTTGGCTCAAATCCTGCGGGTACCACTCCCGAGTCTGTTACCTCAGTTTTGTCATCTGTAAGATGGGTACTTCCTGAACAACGTATGTAACACACCAAACACGATGCCTCTAGGATGTGGTACAGGGACATCAGGGCGCAGGTGTCCCGTAACTACCTCCGGCCCGGGCCAACGAAGCCATTCAGACTGTGGGCCTAGGCTGACCGGGCGGGAGGAAGGGGAACTGGCCCTTCCCTCCTCACTCCCTGGTCCTCCCCGTGGCTTCTCTAGGACGGTAAGACCTGGATCTCCATTCGCTGCACGAGGAGCTGTACCTGCACCACAGGAACCATTCACTGCCAGCCCTTCAGGTGCCCCCCTGGCTCCCATTGCGAGCCCCAGCCCGGGGGCACTGGCGGCTGTGAAATTAACAGTAAGAGGGCTCATCGGGGAGGCAGAGCAAGAGACGGGACAAGAGGGGCTCAGGCTGGGCAGGTCTGGAGACGGAAGGGGCCCCAGCTCGGGCGCGGGGTCGGCCTGGGGCCTCATTCGGGCTCTCACCAGCTCTGTGGCCGACTCTGGGACTCACTCTCTTAAGTGCAGAAAGAGGGGATGGAACCAGGTTTGTAATCGGGGCTGGGAAATAGAGAAGTTTAAAGATCAAGGAGCCAGGGAGCCCAGGGCTAAGAGAGAGGGTGACCAGAGACATCAGGGCCGTAGAGGGATTCGGGGGGGGGGTTGTTATATCTGGGCAGGGTCCCTTCTCAGGGTCGGCCCTTCTTGGCAGAGTCCGAACAATGCTCCATTTATGGGGACCCCCATTACCGTACATTTGATGGCCTCACCTACGTCTTCCGGGGCCGCATGACCTACACTCTGATAAAGACCATTGGTAAGCTCCCTGCTGGGGTGGTGCCTCTGGTCGTGGAGGGGCGCAACAAAGTGTATTCGTCCTGGAGACCCATCTACCTGCACGAGATCATCGTGATCATCTACGGCTACACAGTCCAGCTCAAGGCTCATCTGGAGCTGGTGGTAAGAGCCAGGCCAGGCCAGGAGGGGCTGGGGAAGCAGGCTGGGCTGTGGGAGGCCACTGAACACAGTAAAGCCGGGAAGTTCCTGGCCCAGGCTGCCTCGTCATCGAGGTCATTGAGGTCAGAATCGGTGCCACACTCACATCCTGGGGAGAGGCAGCGGAGAGCAGTTGGATGGAGCAAAAGGTTGGAGAGAGACAGGGAGAGAGAGGGAAGGAGAGAACATGGGGTGCAAAGGGGAAGCCGGGCTGAGTAGTATGGGGGGGGCGTCCTCTCTGTCCAGTGTTTTGCAAGGAAGAGGCTATGGCTGCAAAGGGCGTAGACCTCAGGGAAGCCTTTGCCACGCGGGGCAGAAGGGCCTACGGGGGTACCTCATTCCGTGGAATGATGGCACCCAGATACCGAGCCGTGCGGAGAGGCAGTGGAGGGTCAGGTCGACCCTGGACTCTCTGTGGCTCCTGCCTGCCTTCTCCAGGTCAACAACCAGAAGATGGGCATCCCCTACAAGCCCAGCGACCGTCTGCAGGTTGCCCTGCGGGGCCATCGCCTGTATCTGATCACTGACTTCGAGATGGTTGTCACCTTCGATGGAGGCAAAAACGCAGGTATCTGAGAGTGGGGAGGGGGAGAGCAGAGGGGGTGTTTCTGGGCCGGGGGGCCAGCCACGGTGAGGAGCCCCGAGTGGGTCCAGGGCCCTGAGCGCCAGGGGAGCAGCCAGGAGGGGTGGAGAGGAGGTGGGGGGCCTCACTTCTGGACACCCCTTCCTCCTGCAGTGATCACGCTGCCCAACCAGTATAAGGGGCTCGTGCGCGGCCTGTGTGGGAATTTCGACGGGAACAAGAGGAATGACTTTATGCTGCCCAACGGCACGGTCACCCAGAACCTCGTCGGCTTTGGCAACAGCTGGGAGGTACAGAGGATCAAGGGAGGTGACCTCGCCCGCTTCTCAAGGTGAGAGGGCTGGGGCTCGGAGCAGGGAGGCCTGGCCCCTGGGGAGGCGAGTAGCAGCCCGGTCTCTGTCCACGCCCGCTCACCCCGTACCCTCAGCAGAGAAGGACTCCCGAGGGCGAGAGCCCAGACAGATCTGTCTGACCTTCTCATCCTGCCATTGCCTCTCAGACCGACTGTGGGGGCACCGGCCCTCCGGGTCCCAGGCTGTGCCGCGTGCCTCCCCACCCCTCCTCCCCAGTTCTTCTCAAGGTCACGATCCTCAGGGGCCTCACCTGGCCCCATCTTGCTCTCCGCCCCAGGGCCATACCAGAGGAGGAGGGGAAGGAGTCAGGCTTCCCTGTGTCGGAATGCAGCCCAGAGCAGCTGGAGCTCATCAACAGCACCCAGGCGTGTGGGGTGCTGGTGGACCCCCAGGGCCCCTTTGCCGCCTGTCACCAGACCGTGGCCCCAGAGCCCTTCCAGGAGTGAGTCAAGGGCCCAGGCCCCATGGGAGTGGCCTTTCTCCGGGTCCCGCTGCCAGTTCTGGGATCCAAGCTCTGTATGGCTCACTTCTTTCTCTTTGTGGCTTTAGGTCCTTGTGATACCCCGCCCCCCACGTGCTCACACTCATACACACGCGCGCACACCCTGCCTGATGTCTTTGGGCTGGGGCTTCCAGGTCCTCTTCTGCAGGGCTGGGTCTCCTTGCCTCCCCACCTCTGACAGCCCCCTGACCGCCCTGCTGCCCCCAGGCACTGTGTGCTGGATCTGTGTGCCGCCGGGAGCCCCAGAGAGCAGGAGGAGTTGCGCTGCCAGGTCCTCAGCGGGTACGCCATCATCTGCCAGGAGGCGGGCGCCACCCTGACCAGCTGGCGGGACCACACCCACTGCGGTGAGGCTCTGACCTTCCCCCGAAGCTGCTTCCCGACCTGCTCGGCCATTTCTGCCCTCTGCTCAGCTCTGAGCCCCAACCCTTGCCCGCCTTGGCCTTCCCGCCTTGCCCTTGACTCCTCGACTTCCCGACGCCCCGCGTCAGCGTGCTCCCCAGCCAGCCTCCCTCTCTGCTGCGCCCAGGAAGCCGCACTGCACCCCTGTCAGCCGGCCCGCTCCTTCTTCTTGCCAGTCAGTGCCCAGCCTTCTCCTCCGCTTCCTTAGCACGCTTTAATGTCAGACCAGAAGGCACCCGAAGCCGGCCCACTCTTCCGGCCTCCTGGGCCTATACCAAGCTCTGTGTTCTGGCGGGTGACCTTGTTCCGCCACCAGCTGCCAGCTCCACGGCCCCCATACCTGCTGGCCCCACCCCTGCCCGGCCGCCCACTCATGCTCACTCTCCCTGCTGACTTTCCCGTCAGCCTTGGCATGTCCGGCCAACACCGTCTACCAGAGCTGTATGACACCCTGCCCGGCCTCCTGTGCCCACCCGACGGCTCCTAGGGACTGCGAGGGCCCCTGTGTGGAGGGCTGTGCCAGCCTCCCGGGCTACATCTACAGTGGGGCCCAGAGCCTCCCCCTGGCCCACTGTGGCTGCACCAACCACGGCGTCTACTACCAGGTCCGCGCTGGGAGGGGGAGGCCCCGCGGAGGGCAGGAGAGCCCGAGGTGGGGGGGGGAAGCCAGAGCGTCTCCTCCCGGCCCTTCTCCCCTCTCCAGCGGGGTGACAGCTTTGTGACTGACGACTGCTCCCAGCACTGCACCTGTGCCCGCTCAGGGGTGCTGGCGTGTGAGCCCCTCAGCTGCCGTGCTGGGGAGATCTGCACCCTGGGGAACCTCACTCGTGGCTGCTTCCGAGGTGAGCCTAGACCTCCCCGGGGCTTCAAGCTGCCCCCGTATGTGGGGTGAGGGTGCTGGATGGAGGATCATCCCTCCCGGTCCTGTGCCTGAGACCCTCCTGCTCGCCGTCAGGAGGTCGGGCCGCTTAATCCCGCTCTTTCCTCCTTTCTCGGGAGGGGCCAAGGGACTGAACAGTTGCTCTCTGCCAGGCCCGGTGCTGAAGCCTTTTCCTGGCGTTAGCTCTCTATGACCTCCCCTCTCTGTGGTTGTGGGTATCCTCCTAGAACTTTCCATAACCCCATTTATCCTCACAGAAGGCCCATGTCTACGGAACCCCTGTCAGAACGATGGGCGGTGCTGGGAGCAGGGAACCCACTTCACCTGTGAGTGCGAACCTGGTTATGGGGGACACCTCTGCGCGGAGCCTCGGGATGTGCCACCCCCTGGAAAGGCCGGTGAGAACTCCATCCCAGGCCTGTATCCTCACAGCCCCTTCCCTACCACCAGCTGCTCTAGGATTTATGCCATAGATATAATATTATCATTTAATAGATATCTATTATAGATCTATAACAGATAGATAGCATATTATTAATATAATGTGTATTCTATAAAATATAATGATCTAGGGGCGCCTGGGTGGCTCAGTCGGTTAAGCGTCTGCCTTCGGCTCGGGTCATGATCCCAGGGTCCTGGGATCGAGTCCCACATCGGGCTCCCTGCTCAGCGGGAAGCCTGCTTCTCCCTCTCCCACTCCCCCTGCTTGTGTTCCCTCTCTCGCTGTCTCCTCCCCTCTCTCTGTCAAATAGATAAAAATCTTTAAAAAAACAAAATATAACTCTCCCTTTAAAAAAAAATATAATGATCTAATATGAGCCCTAGATATTAGCAGAACGAGGGCTCTCAAAGAATCTGAGTCCCTATACCCAACCCCTACCGACAGGCAGTAGCCCCCGCTAATCTGTGGTCCGAGACCGCTATCCAAGTGGATGCCCGGGACCACAGACAGTACCAAACCCTGTGTTTCTTCCTACGTGTACATACTACTGATGAAGTTTTATTCATAAATTAGGCACAATGAGAGATTAACAACAACAAAATAGAACAATTATAACAATACACTGTAGTCAAAGTTACGTGACCGTGGTTTGTCTCTCAAACTGTCGGGTTGTATTGTACTCACCCTTCTTGTGATGATGGAAAATGATGAGGTGCCTAAGGGAGGGGATGAGGTGAGAGGAATGACGTGGGCCCGTGTGAGGTCGCCTTAGGCTGCTATTGACCTTCTGATGCTACGTCAGAAGGAGGACCATCTGCTTCTGGACCGCGGGTGACTGTCGGTGGCTGAAACTGTGGAAAGCCGAGCACTCCATGAGGGGGGTACTGGCCGTAGTCTGGGATCCTCTCTCTGAAGCCTTGCTCCTTTCTCTGGTCTTGCCTCACCCCGCTCTTATTTGCCCATCTTGTGTCCCTCCTGAGCCTCCCCAGTACCTCTCCCCATCCCAAACTAGACTTCCCTTGAGCCTCTGGGTCAGTAGTTCTCACCAAATTTATCTCCCCTCAGATCGGGCCAGGGTGGGGAAAGGGTGGCTTTTTCAAAACTGTTCATTTCAGGACTTCCCCTGACCCTGGCCCCGAGATTTGGATTAGGTAGGTCAGGAGTAGGCCCAGACATCTGCATTTTTACCAAGCTCCCAGGTGACTGAGGGAAGTGATTCCAAGGCTGCTCTTTGAGAAGCACTGGCCAAGATGGTACCCCCTAGATGGTACTCTAGGGGACCAGCGGGATGAACATCCCCCTTAACAAGGCTGATGGGAGTTGTGTGTCCAGAAACTCAAAGGGATCCCAGGGGTATGGTGCCAAGGTCTTGCAGCAACAGCCTTCTGGAGGGAGACCTAGCCACACCCAGCGAGTTAGGGGCCGCTGTCCTTTCCAGGTGGCAATTTAGGATCCAAAGGGAGTGTCTCAAAACAAACAAACAAAGGGAGTGTCTTCTCCCCCCATGCTCTCCTGACCTGTGTCCCTACGTTCTGTCCCCTGCACCCCGGAAGCATCCAACTTCGTGGCCGTCCTGTTGGGGATGCTTGTGCTTGTGGTGGTCCTAGTGCCCACAGTGACCAGAGAATGTGTTTCCAGGAAGAGGAGGAGGAGGTGAGTTCTGGGAAAGGGGAAGAGCAGGGGTGGGTGGGGATGAGTCAGCAGGGGAGCGGGCACCTACCCTCCTCTGTTCCCCACAACCCCCAGGGAGAAAACGCAGAGCCAGAACAGAGACAGGCTGGCAGGCGCTGGTGAGAACCATTCCCACCCCAGAACCTTGGCAGCCGGGAGCTGAGTCCACCTCTGAGACAGGTTTTCTCGCTTACTCCTCAGATTTTGTTCCAGAGCATGCCCTTCAAGTCCCTCAGTTTTGAGGGGACTCAAAAAGGGAGAGAGAAAATAAAATTTATTTTTGAAATGTGAATTTCCGCATGATTGTGGTGGAGGAAGGGTCTGTGGGGTGGGTCTTGTGAGGGGGGTGAAATAGGAAGGAGGGACTCAAGTGTGCGGGCGGTGGGGGAGGCTAGGGCTGGGTGCCCTGCAAACATCCAGAGGGGAGGAGGACCGGAGGGGGACCGAAGTCTGGCTGTTCTTTGGACAAAGCCATTTGGGGGTGGGGCGTCCAGCCCTCTGGCTTCTGGGGAACAGGAGAAAAGACTGCACTGTCCGTCTTCACGGGAATCCAGGGCTTGTGGAAGGTGATCCTGAGGACGCTGACATTTCTAACGACGAGATTTATCACTGGGTGCAGGCTAAAGATGGGGAATGTGGCTTTTTCCAAAGGGCCAACCGCCTGTGACCCTCGGCGGCGGCGGGCGGGGCGGCGGGGGGGGGCTCCACCTTCTGCACCGGTCCGTTTCCCAGAAGGGCCTAGGGGTTACTATGGCAACTGAGGGTGGGGTCTGGGGGCCCAGGAGTTCAGAGCCCCATCCTAGCAGGAGTGGCTGGCTCACCTCAGCCTGAGGCCAAAGGGCAAACTTCTGACCCCTCCCCCAGGGTCCCGTGCCTCCCATCAGGCAGGTCCCTGCTTGGGGGTGGGGGCTGGGACATCCTGTTTGGGTCCCAAGAAGGAAAGGAAGACCACCAGCTGGGGTGGGAGTGGTCAGGATGGAAGACCCCAAGGGACAGGGGGGTGCCCAACCAGGCAGGACACTGGGTCCTATGCTTATTCTCTGAGATGACCCTAGCAGCCACCTACGTTTAAGGAATTGAGATCCCAGCTGAGTGGGGAAGGGCCCCGGGGAGGGAGGGATGGCCCGCCACCAGGCTAGCCATTGGGGAGCAGCTCCCACTCTGGAGCTGGGCACGGCAGGAGCGCTCAGGGGATTCCATGAACTGCTGATGCTTTAGTCAGGGCATGGTGGGGCTCCCTGCTGCACACCTGCCCCCCCCCAGCTCCCTTCACCTCATCTTTGCCCTTTGGCCGGTTATTCATTTGTGCCCTGTCCTCTTGACTTCAGCTCCTCCCCTCAACAACTAAGGTCACTTATCTAGCCCGGATGTCTGGTTGGCAGAGGAAAGGGCTGGCCTGGGTGGGCATCCTCCGGATAGACCTCCTCCTCCAGGACCCAGACCCCCTCCATCTGTGGCGGGATAGAGTCCCTCCCACAGACCCCTTGGGTGTACAAAACATGGGTGATGGGTCATCGAGGGAAGGGACAGAGGATTCCAGAGTATTAGGGACTCTGGTAGGTAGGAACTTGTAGACAGGATCACCACCCAAGGTTCCCTGGGCTGGGAAGGGCAGAAGCTGTTATTTGGGGTCCTGCACAGACCCGAGCACAACAGGGGGCAACTAGGCAGAAACAGCAAGGGTGCCCCAGGTAAACAACGCTGGCCCCTGCAGGTGTCCCTGGGGGTGTGGCAGACTAGGAGGGAAGGAACAGAAGACGGCCACAAAGACTCGCAGGGGCTTGACCCCATTTCCGTCTTCCTGTTTGGGAGACAGAAGTTGGGAGAAGACACTCAGGTGGTTTCCCCTCCCCTTCCCAAGAGGCTGGGAGAACCTGCCTGGGCAGCATCTTGAAAGGGGGAATTGTCTTCCCAAAGACTCAGCCCAGCGTGTGTGTGTGTGTGTGTGTGTGTGTGTGTGTGTGTACATCTACGTACCGCGGGGGGTCCACATCCCTCACTCCAGCTCTCTGCCCCTCCCCCACAGCCCATGCAGACTCTCCCCCCCCTTGCCTCTGAACCAACCCCAGCTGTCAACATCTGGCCCACATCTGTCTCCATCTGAGTGGACCCCCACCCCAGCCAATGCCTCCCTCTTTCCCGTCAGGGGGCTGGGCAGGGCCATAAGCTCCAGGCCTCCCCGGCCTCCCGTGGCCCCCTACCAGGGCTGGGGAACCAGGACAGGGGAGGGATGGGGCAGCCCCACCCCGGAGGAGCCCCAGGCTCTTGGCAGAGCCATCTGGAGCCGTTAGAAGCAGCTGCCAATGACTCATCTCCCACTGCCCCCACCCCACCACCTCAAACACATCCTGGGACGGGGAAGCATGCCCGCAGCCCCCCACAGCCCTGTCTCCAGACCTCCGACACCTCCTCCATACCCAGGCCCCAGTCTCCGCAGGAACCCAGTCCATCCCCCACTCCCAATCACCCCCAGGCCTGCGTCGCTTCCCATTTTCTTTTATTTATACAAAAAATTGTTTTAAATATAATTTAAGAACCCCTCCAAGCACCGGTGTCTGTCTCTGGTTTCCACCACCACATCACCCCCCCACACCCCCTCACGGACACAGCTTGGGGCTACTTGGGGGCAGGAAAGTGTCTGGGAGTTGTGGTGGCACTGTTCCGGAAACAGGACGATGAGCCCCTATTTCACCTTAGGCAAAGGAGGCAATACCGAAACAGGTTCCCCTCCCAACACAGAAAGTTATGACAAGGACAGTAGAAAAACAAAACGACAAGAAACAACGACAAAAAATGGGGGGGGGGAGGAAAAAATAAGACAGAAACAAAAAATAAAACTCAAAAACCTTCAATATGAAGGCAGCAGATGGGGGAGGGGCATTTACAAGGGAAAACTGAGTTCGGGAAGACAGCAGCAAGATTGGGGACATCTGGGTCCAATGATTTTGTCACTGGGCCACAACGCCCCTTCCCGCCTCCCGCCACGACGGGTGCGCTCCACTCCCGAGCTCACAGGCTAGTCACCCTCTTCTCTTTGGTCTGTAGGGCAGTGCATCAGCCCTTCGAGGTGAGGAGGGGCACGTGGGGCCCTAACTGGGGATCAGAGGGAGGCTGTGGGATTCGAGCCCAACCACCCCTGGGAAGCTGGCAGATTAGAGGCGCTTCCTTTCCCTCTGGTCACACCCAATCCTGAGGGAAGGGCTTCCCGCCTGGGGGGCATGTGATGATTTCTACACTCCTATGGCAGAATCCTCAAATCCTGTCTCTCCAAATTGCCAGCTCCCCACCCCCACGGGTTCAAAGTGCTATCCAGTGGGGCCCAGGTATGGCGGCCTCTTGGGTCCCCATCCGACTCTGCCCCAGGAAGAAGGGGAGCTGTGTCCCCAGCCAGGAGTTCCTGCCGCTCCGGAGCGGTGGGGCCAGACAAGCAGGTGCAGGTCAGTACTGGGGGGCTGGTGCTCCCGCCCCGCCACCTGGGGCTCCAGGCTTGGCCTGGGATTTCATGTGCTGGACACTGGCCAGGATTTTCTTCTGGTGTCCCGCCAGAGTGACTCCAATTCGGAGCAGGTCCCTGGGGAAGAAGGGAGAGCTAGGTGAGGCCAGAGGGACTCCTGGGGAGGTTCACTTAGCTCGAGACCACGCCCCGCTCTGGACTGTCAGCCAATCGGGAAGGCCAGCAGGGGAGGGGGTACACGTCAACAGTTGCCAATAGTTGAAGGCAGTTTCCAGAGGCTTTAGGAGACGGCTGCAGTCCTTCTGCGCAGCCGCAGTACAGAGTGGAGCAGGGCTGGCCAGAGATGGGAGGTGGGGGGGGTGCAGCTTGCGGCTCCGACAAGGATTAGGAAAAGGCAGAGAATCAGCGAAGGGGAGGAATGAAAGAGAGAAAAGCGCACAAAATGAGGGTGGGGGAAGGGCTGCACAGATTGCTCTAGAAGAGAAGTCAGAAGGAAAAGGCCTGAGAGAGGAAGAGCGGGTGGGGAGGAAGGGGCGGGGTGGGGCGAAAACGAGCTGCCCGCCCGCCCCGGCCCCCATCCTGAGGCCTGGAGCCTGAGATAAGGGAAAACAGCAGAGGTGGGAAATGGAGAGCAGGGACCTGTGTCAGGGCGGCTCTGGAACAAGTCAGGGAGCAGGGGGGCGGGTGTATGAGCTGCCCGGCCGGGAGGCTGCCTCCCGCCCTCTGGTTCCAGATTTCTCTTCCTTCCATGTGTTATTCAAACCTGGGCTGCGAAGAGAGCTGGGAGGGAAACGGGCAGGCAGAAAGGTGGAGAACCAGAGCGGCCAACGAGGGGAACACAGTGTTCGGGAGGTGTTGGAACCATAAAACCATTTAACATTAAAGCTGGAAATGATCTCCAAAACCCAGTCCAACCTTCTCCTTTTACGGGGGAGGAAGCAGCCAGAGTTGACACTTTGTTAATGTGAGAACAGGGTCTGGAATGTAGATAGATGCACAAGGATAGATACCCATGGCAGGACAGGAGCCAGATGGCCCAGGGCTGAGGTGGCGCAAGGGGGTGAGGGGGTGAGGCAGGTGAGGCGGGCACTGCGGGGCTGGAAGATTCCCTGGGCTCTCAGCCCCCGGAGCTGCTACTTTGCGGCTGTTCTAGATAACGGAGTTGGCACCAGGAGTTGCCCCCAAAGGTCCCTGCTAAACCGGCGGGCCTGATTCTGGTCCCCAGGTGCCCCTGACACTGTTTAGCTCTCAACCGCCACCTCCAGCACCTGCCACGACTTACTCAGCAGAGATCTGGCTGACCAGTTCGAAGGAGCCAAAGCCAGCGGCTGCGAAACTTTCTTCGTATCGTCCCATCTTGATGGCTCTAAGCCACTCACCCACTGAGCCAAAAGCGGAGTAGTGAGGCTGCCGCTGATCTAGGAGCGGGTGTGAGGCCCTGGACAAGGCAAGGATGGGGAGGGGTGGGCTGAGTTCCGGGGCTACGTCAGGGTGGGGACTTTGAGCCCAGCCCTGGAGCAGCGGACAGGGACAATGGACAATCCCACGTACCACCAGAGGGCCGGATACTTCTGAGGGGGAAGGAGGGGGTTCTCAGGCGGTGGCAGAGTGCAGGAAGGAGGCCCACCCTCTGGGGTCCTCACCCGCCATTCTCCCTGGCCACGATTTTGAGACTGGCCGGGTTCCGGATCATCTTGTCGAGGGCGCTGACCACCTGGGGGAAGCGGGGCCGTGCATTCCGGTCCTTCTGCCAACAGTCCAGCATGAGCTGGTGCAGGGAAGTGGGGCAGTCTGGGGGCGGGGGCAGCCGGTAGTCCTGTTCAATGGCATTAATCACCTGGAATGACAGGTAGAAGCACTGGGTGAGGATCTCCCGGGAGAACAAGGGTGCCAAAGGACCCCCAGAAGAAGGTGACTCAGCAGATGCTGGAAGAGGTGCCATAGGCCCCGAGAATGGCAGACTCGGGGTCCTCCTGGCCGGGGCCGAAGCTGGCTGTAGCTCCTGGGCCAAGATCTAGATGAGTAACTTCCCAACCTTGCCCTCCTCCTCCGTGTCCTTCTGTGACCAGACGTGCTGTATCAAAGTCTTGGATGCAAGATTAACTCTACTTTCTGCCACCCTCAAGGACCCAACAGTGATGAGCTCTCTCGGGACCCCACTCCCCCCGACCTCCATATCCCCGGTGAGAGAACATTCCAGGAAAGCTTGGTAG